TGGGTGAGAGAGATGGCAGAACCGCTCAACACCTACTTCCATACACAAAAGGTGAACAAGAGACAACACGATAGAAGTTCATAAAATCATGCAAGACATGGAGAAGGCAGATAGGGAAAAGCTCTCTCTCTCTCTCTCTCTCTCTCTCTCTCTCACACACACACACACACACACACACATACACACAGAAAGAGATGGACACATAACACTAGAACTGGTGGACATCCTTGAAGGTGAATTTTCCAATTTATTTGGGACGAATAAAAGGAAGTCTGTCATCACACAGCACAGAGTTAAACTATGGGTCTTGCTTTTGCAGGAGGCAGTGATGGCCACCAACTTGGATGTCTTTAATAGAGGATTAGACAAATACAGTGGTACCTCAGGTTACATACGCTTCAGGTTACATACGCTTCAGGTTACATACGCTTCAGGTTATAGACTCCACTAACCCAGAAATAGTACATCAGGTTAAGAACTTTGCTTCAGGAGGAGAACAGAAATCGGGCTCCGGCGGCGCAGCAGCAGCAGCAGGAGGCCCCATTAGCTAAAGTGGTGCTTCAGGTTAAGAACAGTTTCAGGTTAAGAACGGACCTCCAGAACGAATTAAGTACTTAACCCGAGGTACTGCTGTAGAGGAGAGGGCTATTGAAGGCTTCTAGCCAGAATGCTCTGCTGCCACAGTTGAAGGCACAAATGCTTCTAAATACCAGGAGGGGAGAGGGCTCTTGTGCTCGGATCCTGCTTGTGGGTTTCCCACAGGGTCATTCGGTTGGCCACTGTGAGAAGAGGATGCTGGACCAGGTGGGCCAGTGGCCTGATCCAGAAGGCTCTTCTTATGTTATTATGTCACTGGAGAGATGAAAAGAGGCTGAGCCTGAGCCTGAAATGTCAATGTCGAATCAGCATTTCCCAGGGATTCCAGTCACCACATTGCAGTCATGTGACAAGGAGGGGGCCATGTGCAGCATCCAGCTTCCTCCCCACCCCACCCTCCTCTTTACTCAACTCCCCCCACCCCCACATGATTCAGCATAAGGAAGCAGCCAGAGCTTTGTGGTGAAAACAGAAGGAAGGAATCCACTGCAGGAAGGAAGTTGGGATGAGCCTTTTTCAGCCTGGGTCACTAGGCTCAAAAGGGCACCCCTCCCTTCCCTTCTTTGCGACTTGCTGTTTGCAAATAGAAAGTCAATGCAGCTTCATCAGCATCTGAGGTTCAGGAAAGAGGCAACCAGACATCCACAAGGGAGACATCTACCAACTGGAGCCAAATCCACTACATGATCAGATTTGTGGGGAGTGGGAGAGATGATTGGGGGGGCGGGGAGATTAACAAATCTCAATTGCTTCTAACCATCTGCCAGAGAAGCTCAGGAAAACCCCAGGCTTGGGTGTGCAACATCTACAATATCTCACACCCTCAGCATTTCAGAGAGATGGTGAAACATTATTCAGTGAAATCACAGAATCAAAGTCTTGGAAGGCACCTGGAAGTTCATCTGGTCCAATCCCCTGAAATGCAAGAATCACAACTGATTTATTTATCTGAGCTATTTACTTATATTAGGAAACTTCCTCATACCAAATCCTAGACTATTTGTCGGTCTACACTGACTGGCAGTAGCAATTTAGGATAGCTCAGTTGGTTAGAGTGTGGTGCTGATAATGCCAAGGTTGCAGGTTCAATCCCTGTATGGCACAGCTGCATGTTCCTGCATTACAGAGGGTTGGACTAGACTCACAGGCATGGACTCAGGGCTATCTTAAGCATCTGCGGTGCCGGGGTGCAAAGATCTGCCTGGCGCCCTCCCCCAGTTGCCCAGTCCCAGGCGCGCAGAGAGTGGAGCTGGCTGGCCGCCTCAGTGTCTCACTGGCTCAGTCACCCCTTGAACTCACGGCAAGGAGCTGCCCGCAGAAGAGCCCACTGTGGCGCTCCGACTGACAGGCGGGCTCTTCCCCGGACTCAACTCTCGGGCCCTGGACTCTCGGGCTGGTGCCCCTGAGAGTGCGGCACCCGGGTGCCCCTCACCCCTAGCACCTATGGGTAAGACGGCCCTGCATGGGCTAGATGATCCTCAGGGTCCCTTCCATCTCTACAATTCTATGATTCTACTACAATTCTTCAGGGTACCAGATATCCCAGTCCAACCTGGGGATGCTACTGGAGAATGAACTTGTGACCTCCTGCACAAAAAAGCAAACACTCCATGATGTTAGCTTGAAGAAGACCGAGGAGCACTGCGCACCATCAGTCTCATCCAAGCCCCCTACATCTCTGCACCCTCAAATGAGAGTCGTGCAGCCAGGTGCCTTGCTGTGGCGATGTTTGGAGAGTCTGTGTAGTGGAGCACCAGAGTTTCTTTTGCAGTCGATAACCAGCGTGGCTGAGACCCAGTGAAAAATGAAAAAGGCTCCGTAAATTTCAATACTGGTTTTGATTTTTTTTACCGAATTTTTTTACTGAATTAATCTGAACTTTGGAACACACAAATGCCTCCTTCTTCAGCTCTATGTGCTTTTCAAGGGAGAGACAGGGAAACCACCTTCAGCACCTTGATACCAAAGGGACCCTGGAGAGCCACTGCTGCCAGTCAGTGTAGACAAAACTGAGCTGGACGGACCAATGGGCAGGTTCATGTAAGGCAGCTTCCTATGTTCCAGTTCAATGCAGTTCTTTATTGAGAAGCATGAGAACTAGAATCTTGCTTTATGTTTAGGATCAGGGGCTGAGACTCAGTGGTGAAGCACCTGTTTTGCATGCAGAAGGTCCTAGGTTTAGTGCCCAATGGCACCTCCAGGTAAGGCTGGAGGAAAACACTCCTGTCCGAAATTCAGGAGAACGGCTGCCAGCTAGTGGGTAAAACTGAGCTAGCAGATCAATGGTTTGACTCGGTAGAAGACAGCTGACGGTGTTCCTATTTAATTCAGCCATTTATCCCGAACAATGAGGACTAGAATCTTAGGGAAAGGGCCAATGGGTCTGACTCGGGATAAGGCAGCTTCCTACCTCACAGGGCTGTTGTGAGGCTGAAGTGGAGCACGCCATGGACCATGGCTACAGCAAAGTCAGCCATCATGAAACTGGGGCTGTTGTGAAAGTGCTTTTGCCAGCCATATAGGGAAACAGAAACAGAAGCCCTGAAGGTCAAAGGCCTAACTGGTGCATTAATAAATAATGCCAATTAATTAGTGCTTTTGCCCTGGGAGCACTTTGCCAATGAATTAATTAGTCCCTTGCAAGGTTAAGTAAGCTGAGCTCTCACTGGCTCTGCTTTGAGAGCAGGGAAGCAGAGCGCTGCCCCCCCCCCCAGCTTTAAAGCCACGGGGCAGGTGTTAGCACCACAATGGAGAGTGGGTGGGGACGGTTGCCCAGGCTGCAGTCCAACTGGTAGAGCAGCCATCCCCAAACCAGGAGAAGAGGACTCCTAGTATGTTGTGGCATGCATTCCAATATTAAAATCTTCCATGAGCCCAAAACTTGTGAGGCAAAGGAGAGGCTGCCTGTTGCATCTCTGAATGATTCTCTGCACTGGCTGTGCCCATTTCCTATCAGGTACCACTGATTAGACAAATTCGTGTATGAGAGGGCTACTAGCCAGAAGCTAGCCTTGCCTGGTTCTCTGCTGAGTGGCAGCTGCTTCTGCCCTGGCCAGCCGGCCTCTGCCAAAAGCGACAGGGCAGGGCAGCAGCCAGATCAGAGCATTATCTGGAGTCCACGCCACCAGCCTTGCTGCAGAATGCGCGCTGAGAAGAGACCCATCTGTTTGCTTGGCCTCCACTGACACAGGGGCCCCTCGGATGTTGCCAGGAGGATGCCCACACATCCCACCTGCCTCCTGCATTGACAAGACTGCCCTGCCAGTGCCCGGGAGTGGCTCAGACCCACAGTTGCCATGTCCCCACACTGCCCTCCCCAAGCAGCCTTGCAAGGCTCGGATCTGAAGAGGGTGGTTTGAGAAAGGCACAACAACCACACCGCTTGGGCAGGTGCGTTGGGCTCCATTTGTCCTCCACCGCTTGCCCTGCCCCCTGTGTGGGCACATGCACGGGCGCACACACACACATCCCACCCTGGGCGGCACGGAGTCATGCTCCTCCACTGCTACTAGCCATAACGGCTCTGCTCTGCCTCCACAGCTGGAGGCAGCAATGCTGGAATCCCAGTTGCTAGAATATGCAAGAAGGCTCTTGTGCTTGAGTCCTGCTTGCAGGTTTCCTACAACTAGCATCTGGTTGGCCAATGTGATCTAGCAGGGTTTTCTTATTTATTTTTTTATTCAAAAGGTGAAAAACTTTGCTAAGCTAAAAGCCTACAGGGCAAAGTGGATGCTTCCCATTGCACCCTAAATGATTCCCTGTGTGAACTGTGCCCGTTTCCCATCTTCCTTGTAAATGCTGGTCCAAAGTCAGCCAAAACAAACTTTCCACTGAGATTGTCCCAAAAGAGAGAAAATGACTTAAGAGGGCCAAGTCAGTGGTAAACCCAAGAAGCTCCTGCACACAGACCAGGAGTTCCCACATTCTGTGGGGCATTTCAAGGGATCCCATGGTCCACATCAGAAGCTGCCTTATACAGAGTCGGACCTTTGGTCCATCTAGCTCAATACTGCCCACACTGACTGGTAGTGGCTCTCCAGGTCTCTTTTTCCAGCCCTAGCAGGAGATGCCATGGGCAGAACCGTAGCTACAAGGTTTCAGCCTGTGTGTGTGCATAAGCAAATGTACATGGGGTGTGTGCCAAACTGGGTCTTTGACCCAGGTGAAACAAATCCTAGTTCAATCACCATAGCATTGGGGATTGAACCTGAGACTTGCATGCAAAGAAGATGCTCTGCTGCTTAACTACTTCTAGAAAATAAGATTCTAGGCCTCATTGTTTTGAAGAAAGGGCTGACTTAAATTTGAAAGCCACGTTAGTTGGAAGTCAGGCCATAGCTCTATTTAGCTCAATGCACTCACTGGCAGTGGCTCTCTAGAATTTTTTACTGGGGACTCTTTCCCAGCCCTACCTAGGGATGGAACCTGAGGCCTTCTGCATGCCAAGCAGGTACTCTGACACTGAGCTACAGCCCTTCCCACTTCATAGCAGAGGCTGCTCCCAAGATGTCTTAAGCAACTGTTCGGCTTGAGCTGCTGCAAATGAACACACTCCTGAAGACTGGGAAGAGTGCTCTGTCTGCCCTCACAGGATCCTCCCTGCTTAGGAATTCAAGAAGGATTCTTGGCTAATCCACACTACAAATGAAGAAAGAGAGAGAGAGAGGAGGAAGAAGAGATCTTTTCCCTTCTTGCCTCCACTCAGCAGATTTTAACTCCTTTTTCGAAAAGTTTGTCTGTTTTTATTGCAAGGTTTTCTGGGGGGGAGGGAGTTGCAGGCGGGGGAATGCAATAAAGAAAACATCCTCCCGAAATGATGCAGCGTCTCCAAAATACGAAGTAATCCTACAGCACATTTTCTTTATTTAGACGGTCGGAAAAGACTGGAACAAAAGAAGTAGCCTGCTGCTGGGTGGTCCTCTCTAACACACACACACACACACACACACACACACACGAGAAACACTTCCTTGTTGAGTTGCAGGAAATTGGGAAACTGGCAGATGCATAACCGAGAAACCAGAGTTAGTATTCCTGCCCAAACAAGTTCAATAGAAGGAGGGGAGGGGACAGAGTTGGTTGCAAAAAAACCCAACAAAAAAAACCCAGCTTCTCTCCATCATTGGTAGTTTATATATTAGTTACTTCAAGGCTGGATTACTGCAATGCGCTCTCTGTGGGGCTTCCCTTGTGCTTGGTGCAGAAGCGGCAGTTAGTGCAGAATGCTGCAGCACGATTGCTTATAGGAATTAGACGCGGGCAGCATATAACAGCTGTGCTCAGAGATCTGCACTGGTTGCTAATTTGCTACCGGGCCAAGTTCAAATTGTTGCCATTAGTAAATAAAGCCCTTAATGACTTGGGACCAGTTTACCAGTGAGATTGCCTTACTCCCATATGTGCCCGCTCAACTGCTTTGATTTTCAGAACTGGCACTGTTATAGGTGTCACAATAATATAGGTGTCACATAATGTGAGAAATCAATCTTTTAATGTGAAAACTCCCTGCCTATTGAAATCAGACAGGCATCATGACTGTGTTCTTTCCAATAAGTGCTAAAACCACTTTTGTTTATACATATACCCAGGTATGTAGAATGCTGACATGTGTTTTTATTTGTTTTTAGTTTAATGCTGATCTTAAATATTTTTGTAACATTTAAAATAGTTGTTTTCAAATGCATACGTTTCTGGGGTTGTTGTTTTTTTTTTACACAGTTCATAAAGTGCTTTGAGGGGGTTCTTTTTTTAACTGAGCGGTGTATAAATTTTATGAAATACATAATCCATGCCTTGCAAGGTTGTTGTGAAAGTAAGATTTTACACACACACATACACACACCAGCCTGGATTTTGCAAGAGAAGTAGGATAGATGAAACACTCTGTGTTCCCACAAACAGGAGATCATCCATATTTGTTTGCAAGATCATAAACCTCATGAATATATACACTTTTATGCACACTTTTCTATAGATATGTATTTTAAAGACATTCGTTGGAGAAGAGCATTGCAAAATTCAGAAACGTCCAAATTTTGAAGGATAGCTGCTTTCTAGTTCTTGGATTGTTTGGTTCGCATTTTGTTTCAGAAAGTGCAATTCTGTTATATTCACCATCGAATTCAAACGGAATCTAATTTCTTCCCTATTCCCTGCCCCACTTGTCCCAATCCTGCCAAAATCGCGCTCCAGCGCTTCATGCCATTTGGCAGGGCTGTTGTGTCCCGACAGTCCTTTGCAAACTGACTGCTTTTTAAGGAAAGAGCTTTTTAACAGTGCTGCACTGTTTTCATTATCTGCATTTTAATAGATTTGTTTTTTATGTTGTTTTAATTCTATAAGAACTTTTTTTAAATTATCTTTTCTATATTTTTAGCTTTTTTTGGTATTTTTATCTGTGTTGTTTTGTGCAGTCCGACTTGAGTCCAGGTCTAGAGAAAAGGCAGGATATAAATAAAAGTAACAACAACAACATTATAAATAACTGGTGCTTCCTTGGAAATCCCTGAGAAGTTTTGCCTGAGGAGGAACCCGCCCTGTTCACACACAAAAATGTTAACTTCACTGACTCTGTCCATATTCGCTGCAAAGCAAAACTTCCAGTTTGGCACCGTGCTAGTAGAACAAAAGTTGGTGTATACGTGTGTGCCACAATTATATGTCCCCAAATTCAAACAACATCTCTATCTTGGTATTATTTTAAAAATAAGTAAATAAATGGGGAAACTTAAATGAGCATTACATCACCTTTTAGACTTGAGGACTCAAAATAAAACCTGGCGTGTATGTTTACAAATGGATTCTTTGTCTGAAGGTCAAATAAAAGCACCCATTTTTCAAGGGAGGACATAAAGAAAGTCATTGCAAGGGGGGAAATTTAGGAAGACCTTTCCTCCACCCTCTTCCCTTGGGATCCTGGCTCTCTAGGCCCTCCTCTCCTTTGAGATATTCTCCGCCCCAGCATCATCTCTCTAGCTCTGCTCCCAGTGACACACATCAGCAGGGCTCAAAGATTTATCTGTTTTTGGACAGCTTGTTCCTCAGCACTTCAGCACCTTGGAATGCAACGGCGCAACTTCCCAGACAAGTGACTCCCTTGTGAACTGTGACAGCTTGTTTGTCAATGGAGCCCAGAACGTGTCTGGTTGGGTGGGTGGACAATGGCAAGGCCATAACCTCTGGCAAGGACGTACAGCGCCACTTCAGTGGAGAGAGTCCTGTAGCCAACCATGAATTAAAGCCGGGCGTTGTAGTCCGTCTAAGGCCCGGGGGACCCAGGTTAAAATCCATAAACCTCACTGGGCAGTGTGGTGTGAAGGTGAATAGTGTTGGATTTGGGCCTGGGAAAGACCAGGGTTTGAATCTCCACTCAGCCACGAAGCTCGCTGGGTGATCTTCAGCCGGTTGCTGCCTCTCAGTACAACCTATCTCACAGGGTTCTTGTGGGCATTAAATGAGTATAGGCAGAACCATGTATACCACCTTGAGCTCTTTGGAGAAAAAGATGCATCATCATCATCATCATTATTATTATTATTATTATTATTATTATTATTATTATTAAATTTGTATACCAACCTACACCCGTAGATCTCAGGGCAGTTCACAACATAAAAACACAGCATACAAAACATGAAATACACAATCAAAAGAAAAAGATGGCCCAAGACTTTTTAAAAGGGCATTGGGTGTCATTCAGCCAAGGCCTGGTTAAAGAGGAACTTTTTTGCCTGGCACCTAAAGGTGTATAATGAAGGCGCCAGGCAAAACACCCTGGGGAGAGCACTCCACCAAAAGGGAGCCACTGCAGAAAAGGCCCTTTCTCAAGTTGCCACCCTCTGGACCTCTTGTGAAGGAGGCACACAAGGAAGGGCCTCAGATGGTGATTTCAGGGTGTGGGTAGGTTCATTGAGGTATTGCAGTCCTGAGCCATTTAAGGCTTTATAGGTCAAACGAGCACTTTGAACCTGGCAAAAAAACTAATTGGTAGCCAGAGCAGTTGGGCCAGGATCAGTGTAATATGTTCAAACCATCTTGTCCCAGTGAGCAACCTGGCCGCCGAATTTTGTACTAGCTGAAGTTTCCAAAACCTTTCAGAGGCAGCCCTATATATAACACGTTGCAGTAATAAGTGCAGTAAACAACTAGAAAAAATATTAATATGGAGGATAAAATTAGTAAAGTATATTTTAATCAGGATTTATGGGTTATTATTATAGTTAACGTGAGAGAATTCTGTTCACTTATTTGTCATGTTTGCAAATTTGCAAACCATACACAGGTTTTGCGACGATCCGGCAGCATTTCAGCCTGACCATACCTGCCACCTTGAGCACCTTGAAGGAAAAGATGAGGTATAAATGTAAGAAACAAATAAACCTCAGGTCTGCCGCTATGTCAGCCACTGTTTTGATGATGGTAACAAACACTGCTTTGCTCATCTTGTGTGGAATGGCTTTGACAAAGCAGGGTGGGAGTCAGAAAGACACCTCCCCATCACCACAAAAAAAATTAAGGCCTGCAAAGATATTTTCAGGCTCTGATAAACAGACAAGAGAGCTTTGTGATAATTCTGGTTGTCCTGGGGATTCCCATTCCCAACCACCCTCCAGTTCTTAGTCCTATGTCCACACCCAAACCATGCCACTAAGATTGCATGTCTCTGACTTTAGAAACAAGCTGTCTATTTCTGATGCGTTGTGGCGAGGCTAGAGTTGCTACTGCAGGCTATTTATAGGTCATTTAAAATACTTTCCACTCTGCCTGCCCCTTTCCACGACAATTGATTTTTTTAAATGATGATGATGATGATGTTGATGATAAAGCTGCCGTTTCCTTAGAGGTTCATCACAGAATCATAGAATTGTAGAGTTGGAAGGGACCCAAAAGCAATCTAGTCCAACCCGCAGCAATGCAAATATCACAGCTAAATAATCCCTGGCAGATATGTCAGTACAGTCATACCTCTTGTTATGTTAGCTTCAGGTTACGTCTTTTCAGGTTGTGTCCCGCGGCAACCCAGAAGTACCGGAAAGGGTTACTTCCGGGTTTCGCCGCTCACGCATGCGCAGGCATACAAAATGACGTCGTTGCGCACACGCAGAAGCAGCAAATCACGACCCACGTGTGCGCTGACGTGGGTTGTGTTCCTTTCAGGTTCCGGAACAGATACTGTTCGCAACCAGAGGTACCACTGTATGTCTTAACCTCACCTTTTTCTGGTCTGGCACCCAGGGAGATCCTAACCTGGAGCAAAACCTGCAAATCTCTTTCACATGCAGCCACACATCCAGGACCCTTCACCCTGGACAGGAATGGTGCAAGAGACTCGGTGCTTCCTTGGTAAAAGTAGCAGCGATTCAGCACAATGTGTATGTTGCAGTTCTGCAGGAATGCCTAATGTGGTGTTACGCAAGGAACTTGGCTGAATGATAATCTCAACTGTCTTTCTTTCTTTCTTTCTTTTTTAATGTT